CTAAGATAACCTCATTAACAAAACAACTGAACCTAAAGAAATCAAAAACTGACATTGAGGAGGTTAGTCAGCCTGATAATAAACATCCTGACTTACAAATTGTCTCTGAAACAGAAATTTCCATCCAGTCAGATAGCGATTTACCTATAGGCTCAGTAGAGGTTTGTGGTGCCAGAAGATCTAAGAGAACTGAGAGTTCACACAACAACACTTGTGTTGTTCAAATTCAAACAGTTTCCAGAACACTAGGACCTAGAGAAATAGACAGATTGTCTCAAAGCTTACCATCAGCACGCACAAATTTTTCAGAGTTTAGCAGAGCACTAATCAGCAAAATGCGTCTTTATGACAAGTCATTAACAGAAGTCACCCAGCTAATGTCTCAAATTCTCACTGAATCTGAATTGAGCAGTTTTGAGCATACTGTGACCTCTAAATTACAACATGCCAGTAAGGATGATTTGAGAGAGGGTGTTTTGAAAGCTCTAAAGAACATTGTTGGCCCAAAGATCGACTGGTCAAAAGTGACTTGTTGTGTACAAAGGAAAGATGAATCTGTGAATGAATTCACTGAGAGATTTTGTCAATCCGCCATAACTTACAGTGGATTAGCTGATAATTCGGACAGTGTGCTAGATGATAAGGGACCCCTAGTCCGCATCTGGTCAGATGGCCTTGCAACTGAATACAGACAAGCTTTGCCATTTCTTAACATCACCTGGTCTTCCACCACTCTCAGAAATAATATGAACAGTTTAGCTTTGTGGGAAAGAGACTCTTACATCAAAGACAGAGTAAGATATGAAGCAGCCGCCACTAAGGTCAACACTGAAAAGACATCAAATCACAAATGTCTTAGGAAAAATATCTGTTGTCATTACTGTGGTAAAAAAGGACATTGGATGAGAGAGTGTAGAAAGAATAAAAAGAACTTTAAAGAGATGAACAGGGTAAATCAACTTCTGAACAGTTTGCTAAATGCCCTCAACATACCCCTCCCCTCATCACTAAATCCATTGAGCTGTCCACAAAGATGCTAACCATTTTTGGCTGTGAGTGCTTAATGTCCCAGTTCATTTACAATTAAGATGAAAGACTCTTTGTAAAAAGACACAAAGGAAACTTCTTCCTTTGTATTAGGGAACTCTGCTTAAGTCCACTTACAGCCTTGAATGTGTTTTAACACATATTTTCAATCACTACCCATTCAATGTTATGATGTCTGATAGGACTGATATTTATTGAATGATAGTTTGTGTCTCACATTTTAAAAGTTTGCCCACCACACTCAGGGACAGAACAGGACACACAAACCAGTGAGGAGCCCAGGGCAGAACTGAAAGCAACAGGCTTCAGGGGCCGCACCCTGTGGTGAAGACTCCCTTTTTCCCCATTTATCCTCACCTCACTGTTTTATAGGTGTCATAACTTTAAGATTAGGAGACAGAAAATACACAACACTACACGATCACCAACTTAACACCACTATACGATCACCTGAATAACTAGACACACGAACTATGATCATACAAGTCTATGTATGAATACTGCTGGTCTGCTGTTTCCTTGTTTTCTTGTGTGCAGGTAAACACAAACACTGCATCTTCTCAAAAACACTCTGAACCAGAGCATCACTACGGAGATCCATGAATGACAGGAAGTCATCAGATCAACTCTGTGCTGGAGAAGAACCACAAGAAACACACCTCACAAAAGACTGAACACTATTCACAAGCCATGGACTTTCAGAAGATCTGCAGTTTAACTACATGATTTTTTGTGTCATCATGTAGGATTTATGACATTACAACTGATTGTCATAAACGTGTGAACAATTTTAGAAATCTACACTTACATCTATGTAGATATTGAAATGACACAGAATAAGTTAAATGTGCCTGTAACTTTTCAAGTTACATGACTAGAAAATGGGGCTTCTGTTATCAAACAGAAGCCATTGAATGGTTTTAGGAAAGCTTACAAATTTATATTTTTTTGTGAGAGTTTTTAAATAACTCTCAAAGGGGGAACTGTGGAAATATAAATTTCTATCAACTAATTCCAAATGAAAAATAATCTACGTATAACTGAAAAGTTATATTCTCTGGTTTTTAATTATATAATTTCATTAACATCCCAGCTAGGATGGACATTAACCTTTTGTCTTTCTGATAACAGGCTAAGCCAATGTAATGCAAATTGTCAGTTTCACAGCATGGGGTGTCTATTGTTTTCTCTTTTCGATCAAATGGTCAGGCGGTTTCTGTCTCCAGAACATGATGAGATTAGACCTGAGAAGCAGTTTACCCTGCCGACCACAACCCTTAATTTGCATACTTTGTTTAGCTATATCCCCTCCTCCTAAGAACACAATATAGCCATGAAATCTTTGTCTTAATTCAGACTAATTCAGACTTGTGTGAGACTTGTGTGAGAGACTTGTGAAAGAACTTGCAGACTGCGGACCTCTAGTAGGCACTTGCAGACACATTGGACATCTTGAAGACGCTGTATGACTGCAGATTAACCAACACGTCTCAATAAAGGAATTCTGCTTGTTTCGAGTCTCCTGGACTGGGTTCTCTCTCTCTCTTTTCAACTCATTTATTTTTTTTACAACAATTCCAATTGGAAGCACATCAACAGTGAAATTAGAAGTCTCAGCAACTTCCTATTCGATTCCGATTGTCTTAGCTTATTATTTCATAAAGGTCAGATCTGATTCATGCATTAAGAAAATTATGAGTATATAAGTACACGCTTTCCAACTTAAATCAGTATCAGTGTGCGCACCAATAAATCAAAGATCTTCTTTAGCATGTTCTCTGACTTCTTTCTCAGTTTATGAACACATTTGCATGGTAATCTGCATCTGAGAAAGGCTGACCATATGTGACACTATTAAACTCACAAATGGTCAAACAAATGAATGAGGATGAATGATGATAGGGAATTATAGCTGCAGATTGTGTTTCTGAAAATGACACCATTTGCTTGCTGGCCATGCAAAGAAAAAATCTCATTAGCAAAAGGCACTCCTGTCCAACAGAAATGGGCTATGGTGGAAACTCTAATCACGCTGTATTACAGGCTGTGTATTCCTGTGCACATCTCCATGCTGCAGGGCAAAACCTTTGGCCTCATTAAGTACATCAGTGAATGTATAGTAGTATTCATACTTTAGCTGGTTTAATGCCAGGAGCTTCAGGGCCTAGGTATAAAATACAGAGCAGGCTAAGATGAGGAAAAACAAATAACAGTTTGAGCTGCGACTCCCCTCACAAATGACCGGCTTTGCTGAAGAAACCTAGACTTGGTTTCTTGTAAAACTTTCTTGCAAGTCTAAAAACAGCTTTTTATGAAGGCAGATTTGAATGTGCCACCTTATGACAATATAGTGTGGCCTGTACATAAAATATAACACCTATTCAAAGTGTGTCTTTATGAGGGACATCGAAATGGAGCAAAAAACAGCTAATTACTTATAAATCATTAGGATGTGAAAGTTTTGATTAAATTAGTGGACCTCAGAAGTACTACATTTAACAATAATAAATAAAAAAACAGCTCATCACACCTTGAAACTGTGTGAATCACATTTCACAATGTTTATTTTGCTAGAGGATACTGTTATTTCCTTATGTGAACAATCAATTTTTGCAAGTTAATCAACTGAAAAAAAGCTTGTTTTGGTAATCTTCGAAGTCTGACTATTTTCTTCTGCGTCTAAAGTGGCGGTTCGTCTAATGCAGGGGTGTCAAACTCAATTCCTGGAGGGCCGAAGCCCTGCACAGTTTAGTTCCAACCCTGCTCCAACACACTTACCTGTAGGTTTCAAACAAGCCTGAAGGACTCAATAAGTTTGATCAGGTGTGTTTAATTAGGGTTTGAACTAAACTGTGCAGAGCTGCGGCCCTTTTGGAACTGAGTTTGACACCTGTGGTCTAATGCGTGGTTTCTCAACCACGCTTCTAGAGACCCACCAGCTCTGCATATTTTCCATATCTCCTTAACCAAAAACACCTGATTTAGCTCATTAGCAGAGACTGAAAGTCCTGTAATGGGTGTGACAGAAAAAGGAGACGTCCAAAACATGCAGTGTTGGTGGTCTTCCAGAAACATGGTTGAGAAACACTATTCTATAGACAAGTTTGATGCTTTAGCTACAATATTTTTAGTCACACCCATTTATTTTAAACTTCAACATCAAGCGCACACGTAAGGTCCGGCGCAGCCTTCGTACAATCGCATAGCCCTTGCCATGGCTGGCGCTGATGCGCAACTCTTAAAAATGCATCGACATGTAACGCAAGCTCTGTGATTAGTCAGCTTAGTAGCGGTGACAAGTGTGCGCGGTGCCGCGAGCCTAATGAAGCGAGTGTTTACAAGCGTCGAGTCCTGCGAAGGAGCTCCAGATGGAAACTTTTGTTTTGTGTTAACCTTATGATTAAACTTGTTGCAATTAAGCCAGTTCCCGCCTTTGAATGAGCAAGCTTTAACTACTTGTGCATTAACAACATAACCTACAGCCAGCTAGCATTTCAGAAGTGTTATTGCAAAGCAACACAAACAAGTATAAATGCACTGCTACGCGCAAGGTATGAGCCGTGCTTCACACGATTAATCGATGCAGAAGTAAAAACCAGCCTTTACCGTTAGTTTGCTATGAGAAAATGATTTGCAAAACTAAAGCCCCACCCCTACTCAATATCCTGTTTCAGTTAAAAAGTACATTAACATACTAAAAATAATTGTCTCTGCAACTTCACACACTTTAAATAAATTGTACACTGTAAAAAAAAGCAGGGTTCCACACAATTCCTTCATGATGTCCCAACACAAATCGATTAAGTGGATTGAACATAAAACAACAACAAATTAAGTTCTCCTAAAAGTATCTAAAGAATTAAGTTAATTCAGCTCATTTAAAAAAAAAGTTGTTTCAACAAGAAGAAAAAGTCTTTCTTTGAGTGTAAGAAGTCTTGTATAGCTTACAATACCTGTTATCGTTGAGTTGAGTGTATCGAGGTTGAGGGTCTGGGTCGCCATCGTTAACATCGTAGCTAGCATCTGGATCCTGAAAATGCACAACGAACATTACGGAAATGATTATGTCTTGGGTTTTTAATGTCGAATGTAATGGTGGCCTATTTAAAACTCACATAGTTCTGAACCAGATCTGGGTGGTTTTTTTCAATGCCATCATCCAATATGGACACGACGACTCCTTGTCCAGTGACACCCTGCTTCCAGGCATTTTTCACGTTGAGGTCAAGATGGTCTTGGTTGTACTGATGGGAATATAAGAGAAAGAACAGATCAGCATAGATGCCACTTCCCTCCTACCAACAGCTCAAAAGAAAACAAAAAATAATAAGTTTACAAATGAAAGTTATGTGTGATAAAATTAAATGACGCAGGGAAAAAGTATTGAACACATGAAGAAAGGGAGGTGAAAGCCCAGACAGCAGCTGAAGTCTCTCAGTAGTTCTTCAGCAACCCTCTGCCCTTCCTCATTGTAAATGAATATTAGCTGCTTCAGTCCAACATCTACATTGGCAGGAGAATGAAGATGAATCCAGGGTGGACACTTCAGCAAGACAATGATCCAAAACACAGTTGAGGAAACTCTCAAATGACTTTGTTTTCAAAATGCTTTCTCACACCTGAGCAATGCATGTGACTTCATTCTCCATATGAGAGGCATCTTTAAGCTGCCATCACCAAAAAAGCCTTTTATATTAAGTATTAAATTCATTTCAGGAGGTCAGGACTTTCTCCTTGTGTCATTCCATTGTTATTACACATAATTCATTTTTCAGATTTATTTTGTTTTATTTTTATGCTTGTTTTGTTTGGGTGTTTACCAAAAAAATTGTTCAGTTGCAAGTCAACAGCTCCTTTAAAAATACTATTCCCAGGAAAAAAACATGAAGTGTTCATTATTTATTCCTCCTGCTGTAAGTGAGGATCGTCTTTCTCAAATCACTTTAGAAGCTCACATCAGCTCTGACTCAATGCTGCAGTCTGCAGTCACCTCAATACCGCATGATGTCCTGTACTAGAAATGAGAGATGCCAAAACTCTCATACGCCTTCAAGACATCCTGTCTTGGTTATTGTAATGCCCTGAACGCACGCAATACTCCCCTTTCACATACTGTACCCTACAGTTCAGGAGTTTCTGTCTGCTTCAACCAATGTTTTGCATTGAAATGTTAGTGCATTGACTTTTATTGCGGGCACATTTCTTTACACCTAACTTTATTAAATTATGCACACACAGAGCACACTACACACACAGTGCTCAGCAGCATAAATGAGTACACCACCTGAAGACTGAATATTTCATTCATTTCTCAGTGTATATATTTTGGTTCATTAAAACAAAACAGTATTATTGAATGGTTACACCTATAAAAATAAGATTTTGGTCATCTAACATCAATATGAATAAAAAGACAATACATTTAAATTTATTTAAAAAGTTATTGAAGAAAAAATAAATACAATTGCAAACTACAAAATGTCAACTTTTTATTTTTCCTGTTTAATTTTTACGCCAACATATTAACTTGGGTGTACACATATTTAGACTGTGATCTTGCTTTTTTTTGTTAGATTAGCTCCAGATTTGGCTTTGGTACTGATTAATCTTATGTATATGCACAAATATATAATTGTAAAGCATCCTATAGAAAATATTCAGTTAAAAGGAGAGATCTGTAAAGGGGTGTTCTCATTTATGCTGAGAAATTTTATTATTATTTTTGAATACTTTTAAACTGCAGGGATGTATTAAAACTTAATATAAATAACATTATAGTTTTGATAATGTGATAAACATTTTGAATTCATGTGTAAGTTGCTTTATTTTAAAATGTTCTATTGTTCCCTTGTTCTTGTATGACAGGTTACACAAACACATTAAGCAGCACACAAAAAGGTTGCTTGAGCAATAAATCAGCCAATCAGAAGGCATCTGAAGGATCATGTGACCATAGCAAAACCTTTTTGAAACTTAAAAAAAGTAACCATTTTCAACTTATATTGTTTTCTTTTATACTTTATTCAGTAACACCTGTAGTAAAACTATAATTAAATAAGTAAACATAATAGAGCTTGATAATATTGGAGTGATGATAAAATAAGATCATGTGGAGCGACACAATCACCAGCAATCTAATCCAAGCAGATCACTGGAGAACTGCTGAACAGGACTACAAAAATACCATCATGCACCTCACACACACAACAGTTCCTGATTCCCTCAAATTACACACACAACTTGTAACTTGACATGGACTGATTACTTAAACTTTTTCACCTCTCTCTCTCACACACACACACACTGTTTTATAAACAATTTATCAAATCTGTTTTATCTTTTTGCATTGTAGCATGGTACGGCAATCTGAGTGTGTCAAGCTAGAACAGGTTGAGCAGCCTGGTGAAGGTGGCAGGCAAGATCATTGGTTTTAATCAGACTGGTCTAATGGTAATCTACCATAACTATGTTCTAAGGAGAGCTCAGGGTATCCTATGCACCCCGGATCACCCACTGTACTCTGTATTTCAGCTGCTGCCATCAGGACGTCGTTTTAGGGTTCCTATTTGCAGGACAAATAGAACCAGAAATTCTTTTATAATGGTGGCCATTAGGTCATTAAATGAGTCCAGGGAGAGGGGGATGTCTCTATATACTGATGTATGGATGTTGTGTGGTAATATTTTATTAATGTGTTCATGGAACTTCGCTTGTGTTATGGTACCTTGTTGCAATTTTAGTTTCCATAACGGGATAATAAAGCCGAGTCCGAGTCACACACACACACACACTTTGCTGAGTCTTGTTAACCTGTACCATTTCGAAGCATTTTCCTTTTGTCTAGTTTTTCTGTGCCTGTTGACCCTCTCCTTGTTTTTGTTAATGCTGTATGACGTTTGTGCCGATATCTTCGCCTGTGACCCCAGCTACTCTTCTGAATTGCCCTTAAGGTTAAGCTATGGTTCTACTTGGACTGTCTATTTGCGTTTAAGTTTAATAAAGATGCTGTATTTTTGGATCCTCAACTCCCTGGTACAGACACTGAAAACCAAGAAATGGCTAAATGAAAACCCCAAAATAATTGAATATCTGTTAAAGAAGTTAAATATAAGTTGTAATAATTTCGCAATATGTTTCTGCCGAAAGCAGTTTGGTGAGTGTGTCTGTCTGAGCACAGAGATCTGACCTCTCTCTGCTCCACACGTGTGTTACTCCAGTGCAAAAACGAACGTGGCCACCTGAGTTTATCTGAGCAGAAAATTGAATTTATTTCTCCACGCGGCTCCCGCACTCGCCAGTTGGTCACAGTGTCGCTGTTCTTCTCCCCAGAGAGGTTGAAGGGAGAAATTGAAGCCAGTAAAAGGTGCTGTCAGGTCTGATGACCCCAAAAATGATACCCTCCCCTGCTTATCCTGGGATTGAAAGTCAAACGAACAGAACTGACAGTTTATTTCTTGAGCCTACATCAGGGAAAATGATGCAATCTTGCCTTAAAGGTCCAGCAATAATGGCTGTGAGGTTGATAAATCTGCGCTGATGACCTTTGGTCAACTGTTGCAATTGCAGCCAAACTTTCTCTGCATTCCGCTCTACGGAAATGTTATTGAGTGGCGTCTACCCGTTGCACTGATAAACATGATTGATAACGCTGTCCTGAAGAAAAAAAAATGTGTTGAGAAAAGACTGGAGCTCAGAGTACAATTTTATTGTTTTCTTTTTTCCTTAAGTCATGACATTCCCTAAAAAGTGAGAGAAGCAGCATCTATTGTGTTGGTTCATTAGCTGGAACAAAACGTCCGAATCTGGTGAATCACTGCTGCATGCAGAATGACTGAGCAATGACTTCACACAAATTGATGATTCTCATTACACTGCAGGATTCTCACAAATTAAAGATGCGGAGGGAGGACTCTTAATTACTTGGTAAACAAACAAATGAATAAATAAATCCCATGCTAGCATTGAAAATAGATCTGTAACGTCCAATTAAATTAGTCAGGAAAGTACATTTTAAATTGAATCAGCTCCATTTTATTGACAGTCAAAATTAAAATGAGGAAAGAATGACAGCTGTAAAATATCATATAAAGACTCAGAAAGTTGATTCAATACCATGCTTGTCACAACAACTCAATAACATTTTATTATTATTATTATTATTATTATTATTATTATTAATATTATTATAACCTTTATTTTACCAGGAAAGACACATTGAAATTAAAAATCTCTTTTACAAGAGCGTCCTAGCTAAGATTAGGTGATATAGCTAATAGTACTGTGGGGCTCAGTTTTATTATTATTTGATACATGGCAATGCTGGTGTAAACAACTTTGTACAACCTTATAAAAAATAATGTTTTTTAAGCAAATAAAAGGCATATAATACATTGTAAGTGTACCCTTATTACGCATATGACTATGAGGTTGCCCATGGTTTTGCGAAGGACAGCTTTTGTTTCTAAAGTTCCACTGTTTACAGTAAACAAAAATAAGATATTTGCTTTTTGTTAAAAATTATTTGAGGTTCAACAAGCAACAAATTCAGTTTGCACTAGGGATGTAAGAATATTGTAAATACCGTCATACCGCAATAGTAATTTTTTTCAATATTACCGTAGGCGCATGACTCAATAAAACTTTATTTCTGAGAAAAGTTTGCTTAGGCAAATGAAGCGAACGGGAGGTAGCGGGAACTACAATTCCCATCAGCCTAGGCGTGGCCATCATCCTTTGCGGTCTGTTGTTACTACAGATCCAGTAATGCGGAAATGGAGTGTGTTGCTAGTAACAGGGAAGAAAAAGAGCTGGAAATGATCGAACCTAAAGCGAGTTTTAAATCGGATGTGTGGAAGCATTTCGGTTTCTTTCTAAAAAGATACGAAAAAGGAGAAAAGGTGACAGTCAAAGAAAAAAACAGTATGCAGGCACTGCCAGACTGTGGTGAAATATAAGTCAGGGAATATGACTAAAGACAGTCATGGGGACTGCAGAACACAGCACACTTGTTAGATTGATGCAGACATTGACTTGTACCGCAAAGAGACCTCTATCTCACTCATGGCTTGTCCTCTCAAGTGGTGGAAAGACGATGCACAACGTTACCCACTGCTGTCAACCTTGGCTAAATCATATCTCTCTGTCCCAGAAACCTCAGTCCCAAATGAGAGTCTTTTTTTTTCTGTTGCAGTGAACATGCCCAGAGATCCCAGCTTTTACCAGATTATAGTTATATGATCATTTTCCTTAAAAAACCCATCTCTATCTAAGTGAGTGAGTGATTAAATGTTGAATGTGATGAGTTTTCAACAATACTAAATTGAAACTTTATTTTTTTGATATGGTTTAATAGTTTTGTGTTATTAAAATTGGAAAAATTGAAGTTCCTGTTTCGAAACTTACAGATAGATGGCTGATTTGTATGTCATTGATATGTTCAGTGCTAAGGTAAATAAACACTTTTGGCACTTTTTTTCGAGTCTTTTCATTAGTTTTTTTTTCCTATAAATTATTCAATAAATACCGTACCATGCCATTCATACCGAAGTATTACCGTACCGTGAAATTCTGATACCGTTACATCCCTAGTTTGCACACAAACATACACAATTACTTAAAAATATGAGTTATGTTTTAAGAGAGGATGAAAAAAGGGGTATAAATCTGATGCGTAACATTATATTAGATCCATGCATTAGGTATTAAAACAGCAATACTGCTGCTGTGTTCGCCAAAGTTCATTATACAGCAAAAGAAAAGAGATATCTTACTGATCTTAACTAAATAACTTCATTTAATTAATGAGTTCATACACCAGAAGTTCAGGAGAAAATGGTCTCAAACTGAAGGTCTATCCACAAACTGAGCCAAAAAACAATTAAAAAGCATAAACAACAAAAATAAGTAGCAAGGTGTTTTTTCCTTAGTACTTTAAGTCCAAACAATAATAAAAGCACTCTCTCAATACTCCAGTGTAAACAAAGAAACCAATTCGTCCTTCCAAACATTATACAGAGCTAATAGATGCGGAGCAAAGCCACAGATATTGTCATGTTATGAAGATTTAATATTGGAATAAACTGTGCATTGCTCAATTTGTGTGCATCAGGGAGTCATTATCAATAAGCTCGATATGAGTAATAAGCCTCGGTAAGCACATTGGTTCTGAAAAAATAATTGGGGCAATCCAAACTAAACGTATATCCGGTTAAAAGAGGTGGTGCAGACCTGAACAACAGATATCTCTCTTTCAACCATCTTCATTACAGACTCATCCAGAGATGTCTGGTTTTTAGAACAGGCTATTAATATTTATGCAGGACGTAATTGGGACACTGCATCTAATTTTTGTCTTTTCGAGTCAGAAGCAGGTAATCATGCACATATTTAGTGAGCTGACTCAGCAGTTTTCCGCGCACTGCTTTCTTCATGTTTTATTGCTATTTTGGTCGTGCTGACACTAAATGCTGCATCTTTCTCAAGCAAATGAGCGCTTGAAAGCAAACTTTAGATTTTAAAATGCAAACAGCAAATTCAAAATCTACTACCGCAATTAGAATCAACACTACGGGTGTGCAAAGTTTAAAAGTGGAGTTATTATATGGTATATTTTATATTTGTATGCTAGTTGACTTATTTTAAGTGCCTTTATGTCAGATAATATTATGAGTGATTTATTCAAAACAAATGATTCATTTTAAAATGTGACCATTTTTAATAATGGATCACTGAATTGATTCAATTTAAAAATCAATAAAAAAGCAAAATTAAGTTAAAAAAAATGCAATCGAGTGACTGCGACAAACAACAATATCCAAAGTCCAAATTGTACGTGTGAACTTTGTATACAGAAATAGTTTGGGGATATTTTTGAGTGACCAAGAGTCTGCATTTTAAACATTAAAAGAGAGTCACGCAAAATAAGCTGTTTGTGTCAACTAAGAAGAATGGAGATGTCGCTTGCTGTCATGTTCGCTTTGGTCATTAAAAGGCAAATCCTCTGCAAAAAAGGAGAGGTGACATAAACAAATGGAAGAACAGGAAAAAATTCACCGAAAGAGGTGAGTGCAAGAACTGTATATGTGATCTCTCTCTCTCTCTCTCTGAATACGCAAAACAGTTAACCTATCAAAATAAACCACATGCCATATATAATAAAGCTGTATCAATGCATATTTCCTGCCAGTCCTGTGTAAACTACAGTAAGCAGAGTTTATTTGTTTATATATTTATTTATATTGTGAGATGGCGGAGTGCGAGAACAGTATGAAGTAGTACATACACAGGTGCGCTGCTCCAGCTTTTCTAAATAAACAACAGTGTTAAGCTATGATGTACGTCTGCATTGTACATATTTATTGCTGCAGCCTATTTATTGAATTATAATTAATAATTGATTGTAACTGCCTGTACTGAAATAATGTCAATGTATTGTACATTGTTCATACGAATTTTCTGTTTTTAAATAATAATAATAATGATGAACTTAAAAAAAATGCTTAATATTAACCTGAAGTTTGTGTTACTGTATTAAAACTAACACAAACCATAATTTCACACTAACTGGACATATATTGTTCTTCCACATTTAAAAAAATATAATTCACAATGACTTTTGATTTTTAATAGTCTTAGAATTGAGAAGCTTTTGTTCTATCTTCAAGTCAAATAAAAATGTTCCCAATCCAAAAAAAAAAAAAAAAAAAATTTTTTTTAAAAACATTGCTCAAAATTTGAAAGTATGGACTTAATATGGTTCTGTCTCAAGCCTCAAGAAAATGTTATGCTTAAAATGCTACTCAATAAGAACTTACTTGTTTGGTGAACCACAGTATAATAATACTTATATTTGAGAAAACGGCAATCTTATTTCTAATATTACCTACTGTATATTTAATCGAATTTTTCATCTGCCAAAAAATTGGGTGATGAGAAAAATGTACAACATGTTGATCTTACTCTCTTTCTCTAGTCATAAGCCCCTTTCACACATACAGACCTTTCCGGATAATTGCCGGCAATTTTCCGGAAAGGTTGTATGTGTGAACAGGTCCTTTTTGAATATACCGAGATAAATTCGTTCTGGCTATTTTCCGGAAAGAGAAGTTGTAACATTACCGGCAATTTGCCGGAATGCTGCGCTGTGTGAATGCAGAAGGAAGATTCCCGTAATAAGCGCGTGCACGTCTAGAACTTTAGCCAACGCTTTAGCCAATCACAAAAGTCAGACGCATTTACGTCCGCAAGGTTTGTGAGGATAAAAGCCTTTGAATATTTTTCCAGACACATTTAGCTGCTAGAAGTTAGTCAGATCACGTTTATATGTTCTTCTTAATGCCAACTGTGTAAATAATCATCGATGAGATGCTTATGATAGGCCGTTGTTTGTTTACCTTCAAGCTTTGCGTGCGCCTATGAGCGCCTGCACACGCACATATTATGAACATCTCGACATGCGAAAGTGATCCTGCGAAAGTTGTTCACAATATTGATCATCCACAGAGTTTGTAATTTAGTCAAATGTTTACAAATACAAGCGCAGCCGTTAAAAGCTCATTTGTGGTGAATGATGTCAGAATTTACCGGTATTTTGGAATGGATGTGTGAATGCTCTTTTCCGGAAAATTTCCGTAACGTCCTCACCTGTGTGAACAGCGCTTTTTTCAATATACCGGTAAAGTCGTTCCGGAAATTTTCCAGAAATTTACCGGTATCACTGTGTGAAAGGGGCTAGTGTCACTATGCAGTGGAAAACGGCTTTCACACCAGACACGGAAAGCACTGTACTATGAAACCCTTTCATTTCAATGGCTTGTGGCACACAAGGGTAGTTTATTTCCATGATAAGATGCAAGTCTGTTAGTTTCTCCTCATCCAAAGGTTCACATAATTTTTGATATGGCTCATTTCCATAACAACCAACAGGGATATCTGCTTTCATAACCTATACAGGGTCAGTCTAGCTATATTATGAGTAGGATTTATGACGCAACGAATGCTTTTGGACTGCTTTTGTTTTGAAAAGTGAATGATAAATGTCAGTCTGCCTACTGTTAAACCCACATCACCCATCCCTTCATCTCCTTCACAAACAAGTTCAATGCGGCCACTTTAATCGGGGACACAGAAAGAATGACATCTCAGAAGACGACGTGTATAAAGACTGATGGAGAGTGAGGGCCAGCATGTCTGGAATGTGTCCGAAGAGCCAAATCACAACCGGCTGATTAAACTTTAAGCTCCACCGGATGACCATAATAGCAACAAGTTCACTGTTACACAACATCCCATTTAACAAGGGCAGAAGGAACAGAGTCCTATGAATCCAAACAGAGTGTTACAACAGCCCACCCAGACCATCCAATCTGAGCGGGAGGTATCGTGCTTGCAAAATGAACAAACAGTACACAAACACACACAGAGACAGACGCAGATTCGCACAAACAAACAGATGAGCTATTTACTCACCAAGTACCACTGCTGTGCAAACTTGGGATCGGTGGGCTCATAGTAAACATCCCTCTTCTTTCTTCGTTTCACCACCTGCTGTTCCGCCCACATTACCTTGAGAAAGCAAACAAAGAGTCAGAGACATATGAGAAGAGCTCGATTCCTAGGTTTCCTGTCAGTTCAGCTCTTCAGATGCAAAATGCAGCGTTTTGAACATCAAAAGATCATTGGCAGAATTAATAATCTGGAAAATCTGCATGATCATTGGTGTAAAGCAAAAATTACAAACAGTCAAATTAATGCGAGTAGCTTTTCTCAGGAATTGTACTTTAAGTAGTTTTTAAAAGGAGTTTTTGAGTAGCTTTTTAGTGCTGTCTCGGTACTGAATCCGGAATTTTTGTCTGTAATTTTTGCACATTAACTTTTATTTATTTATTTTATTTTATTTTTTTATTAAAAAGACTTCACACTGTCTCAATCGTATCGACACACTGTCTCTGAAACTTTGACCCATCATAAATTAAGATTATTTGTTTGAATATGAAGATGAAAAAAGGCATATGAAAATTTCAGACTTGCAAAGACCTTTAGACGGGACAATATTGATATCATTAGATACTAACAGTGACTACCTAACAGTGTAATATCATTGTAGAAAAAAGACGAGTAAAATACAGTCAAAAAGATAAAAACTATCTAAATCTTGATTTATTGGAACCCAGATTCAGAGGTACTTTGTTCTGTCCTTCAAGTAGGGCTAGGCGATTTGGCCTAAAATCTAAATCTCAATTAATTGAACTTTTAACTTGATATTTTATTTTTATAAAATAAATAAATAAAAAATAAATAATAATAATAATAATAATATATATATATATGTTTTTTTCTTTCTTTTTTTTGCCTTCATAGTTTAATGACAAGTTTTGTACAGTAAATATGCTCACATACTATGTCAGAGCTTTTTGTTTGAAGAGTGCATTACCTGATTTGAAAATAATTAAAGGAAACACTCGATATCTACTATCTGGGATTATTTATTGAACAATGTGAAATTAAACAACTTAAATTTAAACACATTGCCTAAAACAGTCACTTTTTTCTTATAAAATGCTTACTTTTTTAACAAAATAAAATATTTTCTGTGCTTTTCATATTAAAAGTAGAAAATCAGCAGTATCTCAAATAAATTTAATAACTCTTGTGTATTCTGTAAATAATGTTTTAAGCAGTTCCTTTCTTGCTTCTACAGTAAACAAAGACTTTAATGTAAATAATCATTTGTTCAACAACTTTAATCATAAGGCAAACATAAAACAACCCTTCCATGGGATTTCACACTTGTAAACACTCGCTCCAACGAAGGGCTCTCTGCTGTCCCGCAGCTCTCTGCGACACCCACGCATGTCAAAGCTACCAAACTGACCAATCCCAGAGCTTGCGCTACAGGTCTTCGCAGCGTGTAGTGACAGTTTTGAGAGGTGCATATGTATGCGACCACACAAAGACTAAGTTAGACCATATGCATGCCCTTGATATAAATCATTATTAACAGAATGGGGTCACGTGAAATAATCAATAATCGGATCTTAAACTAATTCCTAGCCTGATACGCACAGGATGTAGGCCTGCCTTTTTCAAACAGCTTCTCAAAATTTTGGCTGAAGTCCGAGCCGAATGCCCTCTTTTATTCCGCCAAAAAGCTTATACGTTTACAGCCAATAAAATAAACCAGATTTGCATTTAATAGAAAGTTGATGTTTTTTTGTTTCATTTTTTATCAGAACAATTTAGAGAAATGTTTGTTTTTTAATGTAAGTTTTAGTTTAGGTGACATTGATATCCAAGCTGTATGTGGTCCACAGCAAGTTTACCCATTTCACTTAGAAGTTGTGCATTGTTCATAACTAGTTAGCTCATCATTTAAAGTGGTCACCATTTGAAAATTCGACCAGAAATTTGTTCTTCCTCTAGCACAGGGGTCACCAATCTCGGTCCAGGAGGGCCAGTGTCCCTGCAGGGTTTAGCTCTAACTTGCCTCAACACACCTGCCTGGATGTTTTAAGTATACCTAGTAAGACCTTGATTAGCTTGTTCAGGTGTGTTTGATTAGGGTTGGAGCTAAAACCTGCAGGACACCGGCCCTCCAGGAACAAGTTTGGTGACCACTGCTCTAGCGTATTTCACAGTTTTAAGTTTGCCATTGGCAATTCTTCTCTTTCTGTTTTTCATTGCAAGTGGCTGGAAATCTCTATGGGCAAGACATCACTGGCACTTCCATAAATTAAATCTCATTAATCATAAAATGATCTCATTAAATCTATTTTTTTTTTCATTTTAAGCCCGATATGTGTGCTAGCAATGACGTGAAAATTGGCCCTACGGTGAAAAAAATGTTGCACCCCGACAGGCTCAGGCTTAAATGCAGGGCACTAACATGTATGTCATCAAAACGAGTTATCGCCCAATTTCATCTGATGAAAAAATATACATTCATCTCAGTTGATTATTAACAATGGTATTAATAACAATCTTATCTGAATAAGAGACTAGAGTAAAACAATCAAGACTAAAACTAGACTAAAATACTTGAAAGTTAGACTAAAACTAGACTAAAATGCCATGACTTTTAGTAGACTAAAGAAAAATAGGATTAGGTTGATAAAAAATATGGTTAAATTAACAAAGACAACTAACACAGGACTAAGACTACCATCTTAAATAGTTGACAATTTACACTAATCCAAATAATCGTTTAATTCAATTACATACATGTTGGCCAGGAGAGATAGGATTTAATTCTTGGTAATGTCTGCAAACAAGAAATAAATTAATGTTTTGCATTCTAAAATAATAAGTTAATATAAAGAAGACTGAAATGTGTGCAATGTGGCTGGAAATATTACAGCAAATAAGGATATCGTTAAATAAGAGCTGATGAAATCTGCTGACAGACACTGTCCTGCTTTCTGTGTCTTCACAATCCTCCATGGCTCAACACAAAGAGAGCGTCCTGCTGAAAGACGAGGAGCTGTTTCTGGAGGGCAGCGACTGCAGCAGCGGGACTGAAAGCGCAGACGGTGGCAGATTATGTGACTGACAGCTCAGTGGCGCTCACTGCTCGCTGTCTACAATGAGCTTTGGGAAAGTGGATGAAATAGACAAGACGCGAGTGCTCAGAAACAGAAAGACGGACCGGCTGGGACGTTCACATCTATCAACATCCGTCAGGGTCACGGTGTCATAATGAAATGCCAACAAAGCAGGTTCAGACTGCAAGTAACATACAGAAGTGCAGTGTTTTCTACTTGCTCCAGATGAGTTGCTTAATAATTAACCAATCGTTTTTATGTACTAACAGCTGTTCAAAGTTTAGGTCATGATGTTTTTGTTTGACCTGACTGACTGAATCAAACACCAGACACAACCATTAAGTGCCATTTATAAGAAACATTAGAGTTAATTTTGCTTAAACCTGATCTTGATGTTTTAAAGGGATAGTGGTTACACTGCACATATCCTGCACTGCACATATACATTTGTAAATGTATAACATGCATGGTTACATATTTATTTGAAAATGTTTATAGTAAATAAGAAGCTATATACAATGATCACATCTATTTGTATATTCCTGATTATTATTAGCAGTATGTTCACATATTTGTTAATCTGACTATAATTAACATAATACAACTTGTATAGCACTTGCTCTTGATTAGACTGAAACTGTATTTTGTTGTTTTGTACATGTGTAATGACAATAATGTTGTAATAATCTACAAACCTTTAATAGTAGCAATGTAGATTGTGTATTTCTAATGAGTGTATTAAATGAGTTAATCTTCCTTAAAATGAGTGGAAAAAGTAAATAAACTATGTGCATAATTATACAAATTTACAAAACAAATTACTTTGCTTTCACAAAGAAAGTGTCTTTGTCTAAAACACATCATTTTTACATGCATATACATTGTAAATAAAAGCTTGCAACAAGTGTCCCGCTTCAGAGTTCTTCTGATTGGTCCTCTGCTTTAGAACTGACACTGAAAAACAGCGCATGAGTGGAAAAGTGGAAAGCCTTTAAACTTGACAGTGGCATAAAAATGGGCTGACCAAAGCAGTATTTTAAAAAAATACTAGTCAATGGCTAATGGATTCAACATTATTCAAAATATCTTATTAAATTTATAAGTAATTATACATTTAAAAAGTAAATAAATAAATAAAAATAAATAAACAAATAAATAAATAAAAAATATTAATAAATTATAAATACATTTAAATATTTTAATAAATCCATTCTAAAATAGTTTAACGAGAAATAATAATTCAAATATATGTATAAACATTAATAATTTAACATAATTCCATATACTAAATTTAAATATATTAATAAAAAAATGAATATTAATAAATTAAATCTATTTATAAATTTAATGTAATTAATCCAGTGTAAAATAATAATAAATCAAATATAATTAAGCAATAATAATTAACTATACAAGTAATTCCATATATTACATTTAAATATATTAATAAATGCATATGAATCAATTTTAAATATATTAATACATTTACATATTTTTATATAAATAATTAAATTAAAATATATTTAATTTAACTGATTTATTTTATCTTTGCCATGATAACAGTAAATAATATTTGACTAGATATTTTTCAAGACACTTCTATACAGCTTAAAGTGACATTTAAAGGCTTAACTAGGTTAATTAGGTTAACTAGGCAGATTACAGTAATTAGGCAAGTTATTGTATAACGATGGTTTGCTCTGTAGACAATTGAAAAATTATATAGCTTAAAGGGGATAATAATATAAAAACTGCTTTTATTCTAGTCGAAATAAAACAAATAAGACTTTCTCCAGAAAAAAAAAAACATATCAGACATACTGTGAAAATGTCCTTGCTCTGTTAAACATCATTTGGGAAATATTTAAAAAAGAAAACAAATATTCAAAGGGGGCTAATAATTCTGACTTCAACTGTAATTCTATATATTAAATTTAAATGTTTTAATAAAATGAATATAAATACATTTTAAACATATATAAAAAATGTAAATGTTGTAATACATTCATTTAAAAACAGTTTAAT